TCTTCCTTCCAACAAGCCTTGGTAACCAATGCATTGCTGGGAGCGGAAGGCGCTGCTCAGTCGACCTGGTACCATTCGAATGGACGGGAGGGATGGATCACGAACCCCTTTAAGAAGGGAGAGAAGGACATGTTTGATGGTTAGCTGATGGCAAAACTGCGACTATTAATCTGACAGGGATATTCTGCATTTTGGTGTGAATCTGAACCGGAATCGGGTCCTGCTGACCGGCTTGCTCACTCCTTGTGCACGGGGATCTGTGATCCGACATCATCACTGCTCGTGGAATTCAATCTTGGCCGGTGATTGTCGTGTTTTGGTCATAGTTCGTTAAATTACAGACAGCTCCCCTAATTGACTATTGTTTTTGTCCTCTGAGTCAAAAATTCTGTGAATTTTTCACAGATGTTCCAAAATCTCTGTGAATGACCATCTGTGAATTTTTCACAGGTTTTTTAAGGGTCTTCACAGATGTTCCAAAATTGCCGTGAAGTTTAGACAGACATTCAGCTGACATGGGTGCACGCATACCCTTTTGTAAAAGCACAACACAACTTCTGTAGAGGGAAAAACGGTTAATGTTGTGCGCAAGCAATGCTTGGTCGTCTGGGTCAAAAATTCTGTGAATTTTTCACAGAGGTTTTTTAAGGGTCTTCACAGATGTTCCAAAATGTCAAAATTGTGGCGAATGGTGGGTTCAACTAGGAATATAACATTTATGGTTGCACTATGTAAAACTGGTCGTAGACTTTTTTCCATGGTCGTCTGAGTCAAAAATTCTGTTAGTTTTCTATCGTCTGAGTCAAAAATTCTGTGAATTTTTCACAGATGTTCCGAAATCTCTGTGAATTTTTCACAGATGTTCCGAAACAAACTCACGGAACAACTTGATGCATCATTGATTTGCACAACAATGACTACGGAAAGAGATTGCTGTTAGAAAAACGTTATCGTGGTAGAAAAACCAGAGTCACACATTGTAGGCAAAGTCACACAGTGTAGGTACGTAAAAAGGTATGGATCTAGTTTATTCAAGATAAATTATCTTCCTGGACCATAGTGCTTTTGTTTGTACGCTTTCTCCTACCAGCTGATCACCTTTGCTTCCAGTGCCCAAAGAACTTTCAACCAGTGCCATAGGTTGTCGTCTTGGTCCCTTTGTGTGCTTACCCCAGTAGTAGCTGAGGCAAGGGAGTGGACTGCAACTAGCAATCGCTTAAGCCCCTTCTTGCTCCTGTCAGATGGGTGGAGCCCCAAATCTTTGTTCCTACAATTCAAAATGCCTTGCCAGAGAATGCATAAAGTGCTGCAGCGTTGGCCAAAATGAGCCTTGAAAAGTCCAATATTATGCTCCTTGAAGTCGTCATCAGTAGTCGTGAATCCCCAATAATTTCAAATCCTTAGATCAGCACCTGTTCTGGTGTCACTTCGATTCCAAGCATCATCCTGAAAGATTCTGAAACTCTCTTTGCATCTTCTCTTCAAAATCTGAAGCAAGTGTGACCAAATTTGGAAAAAACGGTTAAGTTGGTCGTCTGAGTAAAATTTTCTATCGCCTGAGTCAAAAATTCTGTTAATTTTCTATCGTCTGAGTCAAAAATTCTGTAAATTTTTCACAGAAGTTTCAGAACATCCACAATTGCTGTGAAAATAAAACAAATTTTAAAACTTAATCTGGCAAATGAAGTTGAACACTTGACGGCATTGCGAACATTTATAAATTCCCTTGTTGTAGAAGTTTCTTTCTGACAGGCAATAAGTGAAAGTCGATTTTTGGAGTTTTGTGCACATCGACTCTCCACAAAAAAGAGAAAGCTGGCTTCACAGAAAAATGCAGGATATCTCAGAATATTATTATTCTTTGGGAGACGCTCAAGATTACACTAGATGTAAGATTCATAGAATAAGGGACAGTAACAGTGCCGCCATTTTGAGTTGGAATCTGCATGAGCTGCATTACTGAAGGAACTTGCATCATTTGATTACCTGTAGTACCAGCAAGTTGCAAAGGTGTGTTAACGCTTCCCGTAACACTTGATGCTCCACTTGTGGATGCTGAAGCTCCAGGAACTATATAGAAAAACTATTTCAAAAACGAAACAACACGCATTCCGGCAGAACCAACCAGTCTGCCTTGCGTAGCGCTAGTACTGAATTTATGTAGAAAACTTCGAATTTATCACCAAGCCAACCATTCAACACCGGCGCACCATGAAAACAACTTTTGTGGCTAAAAAGTCCGTCAAGAAACGAGTTGAAAGTGACCTACAACAGCCTAAAGACAGGGATCCCATCGATTCCAAGATGGTGTCTGAAACCCAGACTGAAGAGAAGCGTGTTGATGACAATGAAGCGCAACGCATGGCTGACAAGATTGAGGCACAACGAATTGCCGAACGTGAAGCTCGCAGGAGTGGGCATTACAACAGCATTGTTCCAAACTTGTCAGAGTGGTGGATGCAGAATTTATATTCAGGAGATGCTGTCGACGAAGCATTGGAACGCCATGACCGTATCCATACGGGTAACGCACTTTTTATGGCATGGGAAGAACGTTTCCCGGGCGCTTGGAACCAACCTTGCCTTTGGTATGACAATCCGTTTAACGATATAACAGGGACAGCAACTTGTGAAGATCGTTTTGCCCGCATTTTCACATCGATGAATTCGGATAACAGTCAATTGACAATAATAATAACGGAGACATTAATCGTTAATATGCTACTCTGTGGGCATTCAATTGCCGGTGAAATATTCGGCTGTAAAGGTCAACTACTGTGAAGCGGTGAGTCAACAACAAGTTTGAACCATGTGAGGCATCTGTATTATGAACAGAAGTTGCTCAAGTCTACCAAAAGGGTAAGGACTTCTCCCGCGGCGTGGCGGGGTGAATTTGGGGCTCATAAGGTCCCGTGAAAAGTTGGTCAGGGTCCTGGGAAAAAATTGTCCACAGACTGCGGCGTTGTGCTTTCATGGAGCGACTAAAGTCTCTTTGCTCCTGACAAAGCAGCTTCAGCCACTCTTCCTTGTCCACCAATGACTTGCGAAGAACACGTTGACGGCTGGTTAGCACTGGTCGAATTTCCCTAGGCAAGTCATTGGGACCATATCAAACTGTGAGTGAATCCCCTCATTGATAGTGCTGTGACGTTCATGTAGTTGAACGTTGTCATCCAAATGTTGAACGGAGTTCCATTGCTCCCACATGTAGAAGCCGATCAAGATTAGCTGTTGTGAGAGGCGGGACGCCCAGAGAGAGACAGATCGACGACATCTGATCTCATCATAATGTTGTTGTTGGAGTGGTAGCCAAGACGAGGCTTTGTGTCCCTCCAAAAGGCCTTGATACCCAATCACCTGTTGAGCCAAGAAGGTCGGCCGAACCAAAGGAGGGATGGTCCGTAAAGATGGGGAAGAAGGTGCGCGGACGCCATGAAGAAGCTGTAGGATTGCGTGTTTGATGGAAGGGCCCAACTGGCCGCTTGCAATATGACCTGAAGAGGGAATATAATGAAGGCACAGTAAAGCCATCTCAATGGCAGAGAGACCGTCACAAGCAATCCACACCCTGGGGCGTGTCAAAAGATTTGGGGCCCATTGCTGGAGGAGCCAATCAATTGCCATGATACCAGCCATCAGACCGATGAGTTCACTACGGTATGGGCTCTGATCGTGGGGCAAACCCGGGGTCTGACACCGGATGATGATCCGATCTGACCCTCTGTGCTTCACCAGGAGTTGAACAGCTGCGGTCCCTAACTCATTCTTGAAGGATCCATCGCCGATCACGCGAAAGCGACCTTCCAACAGGGCAGCAACTAACCTGTGCACCTTGAGGTGACTACCTCTGATCATGTGTACTTCTGGTCCCAAAATCCGGAGGACAAAGGCTCAGAACCGCATGGCTTGCACAACGGTCACTTCAAGGCAGCGGCCCAGTCACCAGTTATTGCCTCTTGTGATGCCCTTTCTCGCAATATTCCTTTGGCAATGGGATTCGTCCCCTCAAATTGGCGAAACTTGATGAATTTTTCAATTGAGAAAAAGGCAGGCGACTTCCGGCTGTCGAAAATGCGTACTATTCAGTTAATGAATTTGGAGGCACAGGCGAACAACAAAAAAGCGGGTCGGGCGGCCATGCGATATGCCGAGGAACACTCCTTGATTCCAGACGGTCAGTGCGGTTCTCGGAAACGTCACCAGGCCATTGATCTGGCCCTGTCCAAACGTCTGGTCTGGGACTTGTTGATTCTCCAACGACGCGCGGCTGGGTAGATCTCTAATGATGCCAAATCCTGCTTTGATCGTATTGTTCATTGGGTGGCAGTCATTGCGATGCTCCGGTTTGGGCTGACATGGAGGGTCCTATCCTCCATGTTTAACATGCTGTCATCAGCGACGCATCGGGTGCGGACAGGCTTTGGCGATTCCGAACGTACTTTCAAGCCGCCTTCTGTTATCCCCTTCCAAGGCTGTGGTCAGGGTAATGGGGCTGGACCCCCTATATGGATCTCTGTGAGCTCCGTTCTCATTACCATGATGGAAGCGATGGGTTACGGCTTTGAGTGCCTCTCAGCATTGGAGTCACAGTTGGTCACAGCCCAATGCTTCTGCTTTGTCGACGACACCAATGTCATTGAGGCTGGCAATAGAGTACATCACTCGGGTGAAGCTATATGTGCATCGGTGCAGGACGCCGCCACTCTGTGGGCTGGGGGAATCCGTGCCACTGGCGGTGCGATCAATCCCAAGAAGTCCTTTTGGTGGCTCATTGATTTTGAGTGGGACTCCCGCACAGGTAAATGGAAATTCCGTGGAAAAAAAGCAGTCGCTCCCAACTTTGAACTCCAAATTCAAGGTCTTTCAGGTGCTACTGAACCCTTGCGTCGCCTTGAACCAGACGACTCGGAACGCACTTTGGTAGTTATGCTTTCTCCCTTGGAAAACTTTGAGGCTCACAAGGCTCAGATGCTTGCTAAGCTAAGGATTGGGCAGAACAGCTTCGACCCAACCTGCTTCACAAATATGATGTCCTCCCCCTCATCAGGTCGACCATCATGAAGAAATTGGAGTATCCGATGGCGCTAACAACCCTGGATGCCCAGCAATGGACAGACATTATGTCTTGGGTACTTCAAGTGTGCCTTCCGAAGGCGGGTGTCTGTCGCAATTTCCCTTGGGATGTCGTATTTGCTCCGCTGTCCTATCAGGGTCTTGGACTTCCACATCCGTTTGGTTGTCAAGTGTTTAAGCACCTTGAGATGTTGCTCCGACATATGGCCAACAGGACCAAAACTGGTGACTATATGGAGGCCAACATCCAAGCCCATCAACTTGAAACGGGGACGTCCTTTGGACTTCTGCAACAAGTCTACACCAACACGGCGATCCTCGCTTCAGACACGTGGTTGAAACGAGTCTGGCATGAGCTCAAAGGTTTGGACATCTATGTCGCCTATGACTCTCCAGCCCTCTCCCTTCGATGTACGGACGACTCCCTTCTGATGGATCTCTTCATCAACTTGGAGGTTGAACAGGAGGAACTTTTATGGCTCAATTGGTGTCGAATGTTCCTCCAGGTATGCACAGTGTCTGACATTGTGACTGCTGATGGCAGGTTTATTCGTCGCTCCGCGTGGAATGGGCTCAGGGATGAGTGCTGCCGCTTGCCATACCAATGGCCAAGGACAGCTCGCCCAACAAGGCAACACTGGGACCTGTGGCAGACCACCTTGTCCAGAGCCCTGCTTGCCTCCAACGGGCCACATCACCCACTACAACAGCCCTTGGGGCCATGGACTGACCGTCTGGAGGACTGGAATTGGTTATTGTCCCCCACCACAGGCCTTTTCCACCGCCATGGGGCAACCTGGAAACACTTTTCCTCTTAGGGCTCCTCCACCATGTCACGTCGCTACGCGCCAGCTCCGTCCCATCCTTCCTGCCCATGGTGGACTGCACCGCTTCCTTCTGACGCTCTTCGTGCTACGGTTCGCTCCATCACTGGGTCTGACAGGGTTCTTCTCACCGGTACTGGCCGTGCCTCTGAACCGTCTTCTTCCTCCAGCCCATCCATTCTTCACGCGTGGCAAACGGCTGCCAAGCTCTGTACGGACTATTACGGGTGGGTCCCCGATGAGATCGAGGTTCACGGTGACGAAGCCATCTTAGCTGATGCTCTGTTGGACGGTCGCCTGCGTGTGATCAGCGATGGATCCTTCAAGAACGAGTTGGGGACCGCGGCGGTTCAACTCCTGGTGAAGCATGGAGGATGCCATTGAATCATCATCCGGTGTCAGACTCCCGGTTTGCCCCAGGACCAGAGTCCATACCGCAGCGAGCTCATTGGTCTGTTGGCCGGTATAATGGCGGTTGATTGGCTCCTTGAGCAATGGTCCCCAAACATTTTGACTGGCCCCAAGGTGCGGATTGCTTGTGATGGCCTTTCTGCTATCAAGATGGCTTTTGAAGATCGTCAACTGTCTCCAACTGATGCCCAGTTTGACCTGGTATCGTCCATTCGGGAAGCGATCCTCCTGTCCTCGGTGGATTGGGCGCCCCAGCACGTGTATGGTCACCTTGACAAGTCCAATCTCTTTGACAAACTTTCTTGGTGGGAGAAACGGAACCTTGAGGTGGATGGTATGGCGGTGGAGTACCGTAAGGAACTTGAGACGGCCAATCATCTTATAGCCCCCAACCCTCGTTTTTTCACTAAACTTGCTTGGAGACACTACGGTCACCGATCAGGTTCCTACTCCTCTAGCCGGCGGTTCCACATGAGGCCGGCATCTCACAGGACGGCTGGGATTAAAAGACCGATGGCAGCCCTTGACGTCGCTGACGCCCTCTCGCCGTCGGGTCCCTTTTGGCCCTCTCGCCGTCGGTTCCTTTTTGGACCAAGCCACTCCCAGATGATGTATGCCGAGTGACAACTCAGACACTGCATGGGTTAGAGGAGTTTGTGATTTTGGGGGTGGGCCTGGAGCATCAGTCTCCGCAACCAGTTCCCCAACCGTCATTATTCACTGCATGGGAAGCAGCATCAGCAGAAGTTGACGAGTACTTTGGATGGACCCCCGAGGAACTTGAGATTGTCGGTGATGAGGGACGGCTGGTGGAGACCTTACTGTCTGGTCACCTCTGCGTGATCAGCGACGGATCATACAAGCGAGCCCTGGGAACGGTGGCTGTGCAACTACTCCCCAGAAAAGGGGAGAAGGACCGCATCATTGTTTGGTGCCAGACTCCCGGACTGCCCCAGGATCAAAGCGCCTATCGGAGTGAACTGATCGGCCTGCTCGCCGGCATCATGGTTGTTGACTGGTTGCTACACCAGTGGGCGCCAACGCTCCAATCTAAACCCCGCATAAGGATTGCATGCGATGGGTTTTCCGCCCTTCTCAATACCTTTAGCGCTAATCGAGTCACTCCCCAACAGGCGCAGTTTGACCTGGTCTCTTCCCTCCGCGAGGCCCTTGCGCACTCCAAAGCATCATGGGAGCCTAGTCATGTGTATGGTCACCTTGATCACGCTACGCCCTTTTTGTCCCTGTCTTGGTGGTCCAAAAGGAATGTTGAAGTGGATAATTGGGCAGTGGCATACCGCCATCAGTTGGAGGCTTCTAACCAACTGATTGCACCCAATGCTCGCTTCTTTACTGAGTT